TTGTGACGAAAAGGATGGGCTTCGAATGTGGGTTTAATTGTTCAGCATTATTTGATCAAACTTTTTGGATCTTATAGAGTGTCTTCACTCTTTATAATCTCCTATGAGAATTCTTATCGCTTGAAACCTAAAAACACACGTAAGCAAAAATTTAAAATTTTCTTTGAAACAGTTTTCGTCTTTACTAAAAGTTAAACATTAGAGTTAAATACTGTATGTAATAATTAGAAAAGGCAGATAAGTGTGGCTAAGCGTAGACAATATTGGTTGGTGGCTTGATACAGAGTTATGAATTTCATATTTTTTTTCATGTTTTTGCATAATGTCGATTCAAACAAATGTGGGTTTAGGATTTCCATTACGGTTGTGGTTCTGAGCCAAAACCTAAAAAAAGCATCAATTACCATAGTAAAACCGAGTTTCTGGAAGTGTGGACCTACATGCTACATCTGTGATTCTTTGCTGGGTGTAATTATACAAACTAAATAAGTTCACTTGGTCATCTAAGATCGTCGAACATCTTCTTGTGAATCAACTTGCATGCAAAAAAAGCATGAGATGTGGTGCTTGTTTGGAAACACACCTGCTCGGTTCTCTTTGTCAAAGTTTGAAGACATAACGACTTTGAACTGTACATCTTTTCCTGAAAGTGAGAATGATGTGGAATCGAAAGCGCATAAAAAGTTGTGGAAAAAAGTTGAATTTACGCAGGAAGAGCCCTTGCAAGAAAGAGTTGAAAGGTGCTTTGGAAGATGTTTCTTCTTGGCCAAGAGAAGACAAAATTCGTTTTTACGTCTCTGTCTATTTTAGCAATTTTCATCATAGGTGAGGATGATAAAAGGAGCTTCCGTTTGTATTTGCTCGTATAGTTTTTAACTTGCCCAAATTTGAGAAATATCCTTGGGGGAGAGAGGCTTTCAAGCGGCTGATTGAATCAGTAAAGCGTGTAAATTTGGAAGCTAATTCATTCACATTAGATGGGTTTGTACAAACGCTTCACATTAGATGGGTTTGTACAAAAGTTTAAACCAAACAATACATTTTTCTAAGACATGACTGTAAGATATTTTGAGAGTACCATCCTTCTAAATTTCCGGCTTCTTTATGAACTTGGAAACTACCATAGAAAGCTTCTCCATGAACATGGAAACTACCATATATTGCTTCTCCATGAAACTGGAAACTACCATATCATGCTTCTCCATGATAAACACCATAGCAGGCTTCTCCATGAACTTGGAAACTACCATAGCATGCTTCTCCAAGAACTTGGAAACTACCATAGCATGCTTCTCCATGAAATTGGAAACTACCATAGCATAAGCAAAGATGAGAGGCCACACTGATCCTTTGATGGGACCATCTTTCGATCCTCTTTCGAAGATAAACCAATTATTGATGGCCGAGACATAAAACTGACCAACAACACAGAACAATAAGACCGTATCTACGAAACTTCCAAAGATTCTATCGTAACCATGTGATGATGGATAATAGAACCAAGGTATAGGCCTCCACATGTATCGGAAACGAGCTTTATGGGCTTGGATTTTGTATTCGAGGTCAACGAAGGAGAGGAAAACAGAGATAATTGACATTACTAATGAGATTCTTACGTAAAGCTTGCCAATGGAAGAGAGCTGGTCTGCAACCACTGATACAATCTCCGGGGACAAATTGATAATGACGAGGAAGGCCATTACCGTGGAACTCTTATTACTATTAGACAATTGTAGTTCGTAACGTACTTGCTCGATATCGTGACGATCAGGGATAGTTAAACCAATCTCTGAAGGACCAATAATTCCAACCTTGGTAACTTCATGGTCATCTCAATCTAGCAAAGACTCCAGTTCTGTCAAATGGGCGTCAAGTCCAACCATCTCATCAAAATCCTTATATTGTGACGTATTTAGTTTGTTTGAAACATCTTTTGCAATCTTCACTATCATGTTCGCTTCATCGTCCTTGAGAGAGAGAAAAAAAGAGTCATTGTGTTTATTTATCAAACAGTCATGTGAAATGATTTGTAGATTCCACAGATAAGTTTCCCAACTCGGATTAAGAAAGAATCAAGTCACAAATTAATTGAACGACGAAGAAAAAAAACAAACCAATTTAGCTAGTGTTCTCCGAGTATGTAGGCAACATCTTCCAAAGCTTGGCTCCACCTCTGCACCTCTTCCTCTGTTTTCCCACTACATGTTTTCTTGAAGGTGATCCCGAATTTTCCGGTTTGTTTCAGAACATCATATGGTTCTACTCCGTAGAAGAACGTCATCACTATTTGCCCCATATCTTCCTTGCACTTCTAAATCTCCAACAGCTCATCCAAACACCAGCTCGATGAAGCATAATTTCTCGAGAGCACAACCATCAAATCGTTTTTTCCTTAAAACATTTCTGAAAATCGTTTGTAAAGCAATATAGGATCCGATTCAAGCGATAAGCAGGATCGGATTATTTTGAATTAAGACTGTAGGAAGTAAATTTAGAGGAGACAAATATTGCAATGTAAGAAAACGATTTGAGATACAGAAAAACATTTTATAAAAGCGGATTAAGGAAAAACGAGAAGTGGAGGCGAGATGATCACTTTCCTTAATTCAAAATATCTCCCGCAGTGTGGCGGTTAGATGAGATAATGAATCCCAGGATACAACCACTAGTATTCGTATAATCGCAGCACCCGATTATAGAATGTGACAAACTAATATTCTACGATATACTCTTGGACACTTACTCTTGAAAGAGGAAAAGAGACGCGAGAGATTGAAGAAAAGTGTGAACAATTTTTCTCTGTAAGATTTTGTGCAGAGCGATTGAGAAATGGAAGAGGAGAGGTCCATATATATATCGAAGGAGAGAGGAGCGTCGCATTTAATCAGCGTGATAATAATGTAATTAATTTTGCGTTAATGATACGATTTGGGCATTAATCTTGGCGTGATTTTCGGGATAGACGTTTGACTACAATTTAATGTCGTGATTTTGTTAAGAATTTAAACCGAAAACTTTAGCAATTTGGGCCAGAAATGTTGACCAAAAAGTGGCCCAAAAAGAACATCTTTTGTGGGCCGAAGGACCCAAGATCCAAGACCCAAGACCCAAGACCCGAGCTCGGCTCGGCGGCGGCGGCGGCGCCGAGGGGTCCTTGGTTTTCTTTCACACATTTTGAACTATGTCATGTGTGTGTTTATATTTATATGACTCAAAAAAATTTCAATCCTCCAATGTGGGACAAAATGATGTTTTTTATCACATTTTAAGTTGTTTTAAAAGGTTTTATTTTTATTCACACTTGACCAAATTTTAAAGCCTTTGGACTTTATAATAATTTGGGTCTAACAAAGAAGAAGAGAAAAAGAAGCCATGAGATCGAATTGGGAAAAGATTTCAAGATCAGTTATACGAAAAAATGTCTCTGAATGAGCCATAATATGTTGGAGAAATCGAAAAGCGTGTCACTATTCACCGTTGAGTTTTGAGAAAGAGCGAAGAA